CCTTTGTCGTGCACACTGGGAAAATACTCAGCCAGTGTGATCCAAGCCACCTAGTATTCCAGATATTAGCAAGGTATCCAATCAATCTTGAGTTTTAATCTGTAACAAATTATGCAAAAGTCCCCTGAAGTACCTTCTTCCTAAGATAGGAGTTGGAAGTTTTCAGGAGCTTTTCCACCTCTCCTGCAAGGTCTCTGCACATTTCTGAGGAGCCCATGCAGCCAAGAGTGCAGAGTGCCAGCCCCTGCACATATTGCGTGCTGTGATTAAGGTCACTGTAAAGGAGAACAAAAAAAAGCCAATCAGCATGCACACAGAGAACCTGAACACACAAGAAAAGGCATCTATTGATGACCTACAGTCATCTAACCAGCTGCACATATGGCCCAGAAGAACTCTCCAGATGCTCAGCTATTTAGGAGCATGCATTAGAAGCAACAGCAGCTTTGAGTGCATGTTCCACAGGGTTTGCTACTACTTCTTAGAATTATAAAGACAAAAATACTCAGTTAAAACCATCATGTGGGTATCTAAGGATTGAGCTGAGAAGACGGAAGATGACACAGAATTCCATTAAAACTTCTCAAGTAGAGACCAAACCTTGTATTTTGGACACTTGCATGCAGAAAAGAACCTAACATGAAGTACAGTCCTGCAGTGACTCTGTGGGTTGTCCCAGTTTAAACATGTTGCGGGACAGGATTTAGCTTCTGCATTTACAAATCAAAGGGTATATAAAAAAATCCATGTAAAAATATCCTCCGTCCTGAGTGAAACCCACAAAATCCCACCACTTGCACACCTTGAAAATAATCCATACAGGAATTTTGTTTAGTAATCTTAACTATTCATATGCCTAAGGAAAATGTGAAAAGTGGCCACCAAGATGTTAAACCACCCAACAGCAGATGCTATGCATGAGGCCAGCTACCCATGTCACACTAAGTACAAGACAATATAGCTTCCACATGGCAATCCCAACAGCCTTTAAAACTGATTGCTACACTGCTTTTCCAGCAGACTATTTGGTACTCACGTCACCACAGTATCCAGGATTCAATGTTGAAGAAAGCAAAAACTATGCTTCCTGATTTGGGAGGTGGGGGCCGATGGGGACTGCACGACAGGAGAGCAGGGGCAACGAGCGGTATGTAAGCAAACGTGCACAACATGCAGAAAAGCAAGAGACAGTATTCTGGCTGTAACGTCAAGCAGCTATGGCAACACGCAGACAAAGGAACAGACAGCACATGCCACTCAATGGGCTGGGGTTTTTGTATCCTTCCTTTAACAAACTTTTGGCAGCTATATATAGCCATGTGTATAGCAAGTATGTGCTTCACAGGAGTGCTCGCATGGTTTGTATTAAAAAAAAAATCTAGCTCTTGCTATAAAATAATGAAAGACAATGCCATAAACCAAATACCTTAACGTCCTAGACAAAAGCAAGACAAAGTGGTAGATACAGAAGCCAAAGAAGAAAGCAATAAACAATCCACTGAGGTGGTGGGAAGCTGTCCACCAGTTTTGCTTAGCTTCAGTCTGACCCATTTCCAGTTCAAACTTATTAGACCCTTACCACACAAACTCATTTTAGCATAAACAATCAAAAGAGGTGTTAAACTAGCAGCCTAGTTCTAATGGAAGAGTCACACAGGTGTGACACTTCAATGAAAAATCTTTAGCCAAATGTCTCCTATTTCCTGGACACTACATCCAAAGTTAGCAGATCCTCAGGCCTATATAGTTTTGTCAAGTTTCTTTCCAAGCACTTTGAGGCCACAGTCTAACTGAAGACCAATACTTTACTGACTAATATCTGGGAGGCTTATGTTCTAAAAGTAAATAATAATAAAATCAGAATCACCAGACAACCAAGCAACCATTTGGACAAATCAATTAGAACTCAGTTGTTCCACTCCTTCTCGCCCTGTCCATCTTGAAAGGAGTGTTACTGGAAATGCACCAATCAGCTACTAAACTATAACGTAAAACGGTCCCAGTTTATCTTCATTTTGCTGAGAGAAAAAAAGTGGGAGGAAAAAAAAAAGATTATTTCCCATCCCCTCTTGCCTGATTTCAGCAAGATGCTGATCATACAGCACATTTCAAATTGCTGCCTTGCTTCCAAGGACTGTTAGGCCAATCTTAAAAAGAAAGCAGGATACACAGCCTTGATCCTTGAAGTCAAGACGACTCGTCAGAACTTCGGAGCTCGTCAGCAGTAGTAAGTAAACAAACACAGGACAACATAGCTGCAGCAATTACACGACTTTGTGACGTATGATGGCCAGTCCAGCCCACAGCTTTAACAGTGTTATAAAAACATCCTGATTCGATCATACTTAAAAGGTGTATGGACCTTTACTGATGCTGTATTACAGCTTGCCTGGCTCTTTGCGACTGCAAGCTGGAAGAGAACTAATTTACAGAAATGGAAGAGACTTCTTTACCAACTGGAGGTCTTCTGCACTAGCTGAGCAGCTTACTGTGGTTGTGGCCACTTCATCTTCCCGATTTTATTTGTCTCTACATGACCTCCAGAAACACATACTAGGGTTCTGTAACAGTGGTTACATGAAGTGTTGTTTGTCACATACACCTCTTCAGGACCAATGCAATTTTATATTCTCTTCCCTCTAAGAAAGCCAGACAGGATCATCCAATACAGTACAATACTAGAACAGTCTTGTACAGTCAACAGCATACAACAAATTGAAGATTTCTAACATAAGGGAAAAAAACCCTAAAGTACTCAAAATAACAGTGTCAGGAGTGTACTTTCAGATCCTGAAACTTCAAAGCATGTGTTGATGGAGAGAGAGGTGGTACCCTTACTTCTTGATGCAATTGGTCATAAGAAGATGGACATCCTGTCTCTCATCCAGCAGCAACATGGCACCTAAATACCCAATGCGCTTGTCTGTGAATTTCTGAGAGGCAATGAGCTTGAGGCACTCCAACTGGAAAGAAAAAAAGGGGAAAAAAAGAATTAAAAAAAAAAGACAGAATTAGCTTAAACTACTTCTTAGCTAGAGGAGAAACAGTTTGAATTTTGATCTTTACTCATTTAGGTCTCCCAGAATGCATTTTTTAAAGTATATTTTATTCTCACTTTAGTGATGTAGAAAACAAAGAAAGGTTAAATGACCTGCCCAAAGCTCCCAGCAAGCCAGCAGAAAAGTCATTAGCAGCTCCTGCATCTTGAAGTAGCAAGGCACTGTTGGCCTTCCATGACCTCAGATATACAAGATACATGGCTTTATGTCAGATCACAAAAGTAAAAGATAACATATTGCCAGAGACAAGAGATCCATCATTAAAAACAAACTACTACAGAACTAGAACTCTAGACCATGTGCCATGTTTGATATGCTTCGGAAACTTCTCAACCAGGCTTAAATGGGTCCATCTACCTACCAGAGAGAGGACCAATGCTCTGTAAGCTAAAGCTGTCAAAACCAGTTTTTGTTATTATGATCTGTAGCTAACTTGCTGGCTAGGTAAACCTTAGATACAGTCGAAGATATTTAAGTTTTGTGCTGCTCTAGCAGTCTCTATTTGAACACCTGAAGTTTGACTAAAATCAGATGCGTTGTAGTCACTACAAGCTTCCCTTCTACCATGTGGAAACATCAACTGTGCTCAACAGCATAAAGGAGATCCCTAAGATAAAGTGTATAGCTGTCACTTGCACTTAGCTGATTAAGAATTTAACTGCTAACTCATTTTTAAACTTAACACTTTCCTGCTAAAAGAAAAAAAAAAAAAGAAAAGGACACCAACCACAGAGACATTCTGACATTACTACGCACTAACATGTTTTGCTCTAACAGATAACTAATCGAGTATAATCAACCTCTACTTTCCAGGCAGACAGTAGAAGAAATGGCTTCTCAAAAGAGGTAAGAGACCTATTCCTCACAAACACATCCCGTAAGTCTTTACGAATCAGGCGAGGCAGTAAGTAAGCATACACAATGGATGTAAGGAGAGGTCAGACAAAGCTTGCAACAGATACATTTTAAAGGAAGTAAAGGGGGGCACGCACAGGAAAAATACAGGATTTCATGAAGTTTTTCATGGTCCCTAGCTACAGGGAAGTTAACAGGGGAACAGATACAGGTGAGATGCAAGAATCACACACATCAAGAGGGTAACGCTGTACAGGTTGTTGATAAGAACATTAAAGTTGACATGCCAGAGGAATTAAGTGCTATGACCTACCACTGATAAGTTCTCACAACCGCATAGTGCCAGCACAGACAGCTCAACTACGTGAGAAGCTGTCACATACCAACAGCCAGCTAGTTCAGGGTGACAAACTGGTAAGAAAAAGCTTGACGGAAAGTGAGTTCAGTTTGCTAGGTTCAAAGGGGTTGAAAATCTAGAATAAAGAAACACCTCTGATCTTATTGTTCAGTCATCCACAAGGAGAACTGAACTGGCACAAATGCACAACATCAACCAGGGATAAGGTACAGAACACCAGATATCGACCTCTTATCTTTCCAGTGCTTTCAGTAAGAGAATAATGCATCTCTGAACCAACTTTCTTCTCCAGGTTTACAAGACGCTTTCTTATACAACCCTCTGCAAAAATGCAATGCAGAATTGATGACATCTAAGCTACAGCGTAAGAGCCAACAAAGGCAGAAGACAAACGACTAAGAAAAAGCAGAAGGAAACTAATGACTGCAACAGATACTGTGAAACATATTTCTAGTACTTTTGAATTTGAAAGATTATTGAAATTTACTCTGTGAAAGGCTGATGAGTTCTTGTTTCACTTGTATACAAATATATGCAAACTAGCTTTGGGCACAACAATACTGAGAAACATAATGAGCTGAAGCTCTTAGGAGGTCTAATTAGAGGAAGAGATCTTGATACCATGATGTCCACTTCATTCAAAGGAACAACTAAAATCTGCTACATCAGTACTGCAACAGATACATTAGTAAAGCCAGATATGATGCAGGTATATAGCCAGACTACAACTTAAGAAAGTTTTTACTAACATAGCCACTTTTCCATCTGGAATTTTTTTGCAAGTGGAAATAATGACAAAAATAAAAAAGTTATTTGAACATTCGTCCAGGCTGCCCAATACCTTTTAAAATTGCACAAATGGCCTTTGCACACACTGAAGAGTCAGCTTGCCATCCAGTGCATCTCAGCATGCACTGGCTAAATACGGTGCTCGTGTTTGTATTTCTGTACAAGATATCCTGGGTCAAAGTTGAAGATCCCTGGTTTGGAAAGAAGTAGATCATCCATTCACTACTTCTGACAACTTCTCAAAATTCTCTTTATTATTGGTTACCTCATCCACACTGTTAGCTCAAATCAGATGTCTGCTTACACCTTTAAGAGAGACCGCCTAATGTAGCCCATGGCTCTCCTGTTTTTCACCAAAACCTATTTCCTGCATATTTATCCTGTCACTCTCAGAAGTTTCCTATCTACAAGGCTGGTACAAGACTCCACTGTGGGAACAGCACGGGTCTTCGACAGGTCCTCACCTTGCGCAAACTATATCCTTCCAGTTGTAAGCGTTCAAGACATGCAATGGTCTGTAAGCTACTTACTTGGAGAATGCTTGCTAAAATCCCTTCTCAGCCTTGGACCCCACACCTTCCTGAAAGTGCAGCTGATAAACCACACAAGAACCAAGGCCATTGGATAAAGTACTCTGTTCCCAAAATGGTCAGCACCACTGAGAGTGAAGAGGTAGTTTACCATTACTGACCTAAGCAGAAACTGAAAAATTATTAGATATCTAGTCTAATCTTCCATATATGGGATTAAATACTTGAGTAACAAGATAAAAATAATCCCAATAAAATTTAAACATGTTCCTAACATAGGCGTCATCTGGGAATTTCTGCTTTTGACCTATCTGTAACACTTTTCATTCTTCTTGCAGCTCTTAGATACTTAGCCCTAATTTTTGCAACAGGAAGTTTCTCTCTCGGACCAGGGAGTCTGGCTAAGCGAAGCACTAAGAACAGAATACAGAAATTCACTTGCTCTTGTGCAACAACTCATAATACTGTGAGAAGAATGCAATGATGTAGAAGATGATGCACTTCATATGCAATAGCACAGCCTAGAGTCACTCTCTAACACTAAGACTATTCGGAACCTGATTTCAGTGGTTTGAGTTTACTGTTTCACTAAGTCATCTCAGGACTGGTAAACACAATCATGAATGGATAGAATCCCAATACATGAAGCTACTTTAAGGGATATAACAATGCGACTGACTTTTTATTTGGTTTTGTAGAAGGCCTAGGTTAAATTACTACTAATGGGACTCTTACTGACTTTTAAGCAAAACAGACTATGCCCCAAAGACTACGCAATGCTCTATCTGAAGAACACCTTGCAGATGAAGAACTCACATCTTCCTGTTTCCCTTTTCCACAATCTACCTGTGCCTAAAATAGCGTGTCAAAAATAAGACAAGAGAGGGAAAACTCATACCAGCATTCTCCAAGTCACCTCACTAAGATGGGGATAAGGAACACTGATTTCTTATTGCTGGGAACAGACCGCTCCTATCTGTCTAGAATAGATTGCTTTAGAAGGAAAAGGATATAGAACCTCCTTTGAAGCATCTGCTATTTTCCAGCAGAGGCAGAACTCCAAAGTGCTGTTTTGAATTCATCTAGAAATATCCATATGTACTGGACTGCAGTTTAAGAAATACTGCTCTGCAGAAACCCGGGTGATGAGGAGCAGAGAGTCTGGCAAAAACAGACTAAACCTAAGTTTCCTAACAAAATATTTAAGTCACCAAACAGCGGATCTCACTAAAAAAGTCAAAACTAACTACAGTAGGTTCAGAACACATATGAAGACAAACCTTGCACCATTTCAAAGAGTAGACAGTAAAGCTGCAGCTAGGAATGCTCCACACAAGTCAATGTGCCCAAACCACACAAAGCAGACTGGCGTATGCACACAGCACAGCAAGCACTGATCTCTGACCTACCTGTCCAAAATGTGCAGGGTATCCCAGCATGTGCATATACAGCAGCTTCGCCACATTTCTGCATCGGTATGTGTTATCTTCCTCTCGGAAAGATGACCGGATAGCAGCACATTCCTTCTGGATCATCTCACGCTCTTCTGCCTGGGTTCTTGCTGTCCGGATGGTCCGGATCAACTCCCGCAGTCTGATGGGGGCTGGCATCCTCTGGGAGAAGAGAGAGATCTGTAAACCTTGTACTGTACCTAAAGGCCTCATTATGATCTCATACGTTCGCCTTTTTTTTTCCTTTCTTACCCTACGATTATATGAGCAGAAGAATTTAAAAAATGTAGACTGCTTCAATAGCATGGTTAAAAGTAAACTTGAAAAAGAGAGGAATTCATTGTACCTCATTTGCTTTTCCAGAACATTAGAAACAGGAATTGCTATGCTTTGAGCTAGCTGTCAGGTGAACATAACACGACTCCCCACCTGAAACAGGCAGAAATGGAACTCTGCAAGGTATGCTGTTGTATTTGCATCTCTCCAGAAAAGTCAGGCTCTAAAGAGTGTTGATCCCAAAATCACAACAACTTAGGACAGAAATCCTTTATAAAAAGCAATGCTGCTTAATAACTTGCACAAGATTTCATACAAGTGTTTCAGATAGCCATGCTTCAAAAATCCCAAACACTTGTGCCACATACGCTTCCTTCTTAGAGGCGTGGAAGTCAGCAGAAAAAGAAGACGGAAGAGCAATCCTAGATGTGTGGATATTTCAGAGATCTTCTCTTAAAAATAAATAAATCAAGTTGACATCGTCTCTTTATTACTCACCAAACAGAATAATCCTTTCTAAACCAAATAAACCTGTTACATTACTGGCTGGTGGCACTGGTATGAAAAGAGTGCACAAGAACAGCATATTCTACACGAACTCCAAGTAGTTTCACTTCACCAGATGGAATACTGATGGAGCTGTCTGACCAAGAGAGCAATTCAGACTTCCAAGTATCCCTCAAGAGGAAAACGGCTCTCAAACAAAAGCAGAACTTTAGAATTATGTTCAACAGTTGAACTTTTTAGTTCATGGTCAGCAAAGCAGACTTTTGACTTTCTAGGAGATCAGACTATGGAAGCATCTCCACAGTCTTCTTTCATCCACCCTAGACTGCAAACACAACTAAGTCATTCTGATAACAAATAACGTCACACCAACTTGTAAAAAGCTGCCATGGCAGTCTGCTACAGATTGTCTGGGTCACCGTCCTTCCAAAATGGTGTGTCATACAATTTAAGCACCATTGTATCAGAAAATGAGGTACATTCAGATGCTGGACTAACTGGCGTGCATGACACCACAGAACAGACAGGCTGGGACAGCAGGGGACTTGTTTGCTACAGAAAAGCAGAGAGATGAACGTACAATGAGTAAAGGTGGCCTCACAGCAAGACAGTTGAATGCAGCTCTATAGGTCTGGATTATAAATCGGGTCTCCTGAATTCATACATTGCACTAAGTCTCTTCAGTCAAACCATGCAGACTCCCTCATATTTCAGGATGGATTTAAATGACATATAAAATTAAGGTAACTGGGCAAGAGTTAATCATTGCAAGCCAGAGTTCCAAGATAGCACGTACTAGTTGTTTCCTAGGTGCTGTCTGGTTGTGTTGCTTTATTCTGTGTTAATTTACTCCTAGTGAAAGGGACAAACACAGATTAACTGTGTGCTATCACTGGAGACTTTTGAACTTGCTGCTAATTACATCCTACTACATCTTCCAAAAACTTGTTTGCGTAAGCCTATCCTTAGAGCCTGCCTTCAGAGCTGAAACTGAATAAAACTTAAGGCACAAGGCTTGCCTACCTAGGAATTTATTCTGCAATAAGGTAGGACACAATCCCCTCAAATTCCATGAGTCCTTGAAACATCATCTGCTTAAGCTCATGTTTCTATTCTGAATCTGCCATACTGGAAGTGGTCTCAATCTCGTACAACAGCTATTCTTAATTAATTCAAGTTAATACCTCACTTCTATAGTAGTCTCCAATTTAACAGGAAAAGCAGGATCTGCCAATCCTTCTCTGTCCTAAATGGGCAGTGAAAGAAGGCAGAAAGCAGACCAGAAAAGGCCACACCAGGTCTGATCAAAGCTCTATCCTGTTCTGCACCCCATCTCTGACAACGGCAGATGCCTAGGTAAGAGCGTAAGAACAGGAAAGCATGTAGCAACGGTTCCTCAGAATTGTCTTGCAGTCTTCAACAATTTGTGGCCCAAAAACTTCCAAAGCCAGAAATAAAACACACTCTGGTTTTATGTGGAACCCTGGACAACTTCTAGAGTCAGTATTCTGCAGGACACACGAGTTCCATAGCTTCAATGTATGACAGATGGAGACCCAGTTACTTCTTTTGTTCTGAATTTCCAACCGCTGGTTTCCATTGATGCTTCCAATTCTACACACTTCTATTGTTATCCCTCCTTCATCCTCCACAGTCTGCAAAACGCAGCCTCACATCCAAGCACTTCCCTGATGGATGATCTTTGTTGCCTTGCCTGAGCATTCTACAGTTCTCCTGCGTCCTTTGTAAAGGGAGAGAGGAGAAGCAAAACGCTGCATGTGGCATTTCAGAGGCAGATGTGCCAGTGATTTATTTGTATAAAATGTTTCCTATTTTGCTTGCTCTTATTTTCCTAATAATTGGTAACACTTGGTTCAGGGTTCTGATTGCTAGAGTGCTCAACCTGTGTTTTTCACGTAACAGTATCATAAACAACAAAAAAAAAATCTCTTTCCTGGGTGGCAACGGTCTGCTTCAAGTCCCTAATTTTTAAGCCTGGACTCATCTCCTACACACATATATCAGATGGTTCTAAACTGATTTTGATAAGTCATGCTCTTGTTGGAAAATTAGAAAGAAGTTAAAAAAATAAAAGCGCTACTGCAGGAATATTCCTCTGCAGTCTATCGGCAATAATCCTCACCAAGATGACCTGTACGCAGGCTCCCAATGAAAGAGGTGGTTCCAGTCCTTCCGTCGTGCTGACACTGGCATCCCTGGGACAACGCACCAAGTGAGGCAACCTGTACATCTGAAAACCAGCTTGCTACTTTCCTCCTAAGAACAGTGGTCTTCAGACACACCAGTTTGGCTCGTGCAGACACAAAGACAGCAGCAAGAACATACGGCTTTGGGAGACCCAAGATGGGCTGGGAAAGAGAAGAAGTGTTCCCTCCAGCAGTAAACCACACTTATGCTACAGTTTTGCACCCCAGTTAAGTTCGTCTGAAACTTGAATGTTCCTGAGAAGATAGGCAGTAGCTATTATAAGTTAAAACCATGACTGACTTTTTTATTTGAAACCTTTGTGAAATGCTAATACATAGTCTGCAGACAAACTGAAGTCTGGCAGCAACTTGCTTTGATATCACCAGTCCTTTTGCCCCTACTCTGTATTCAAAGGGTTTGTGCACTGCTCAACACCAGTACCTTCAGCCTGTGACTTGTACAATCGCACTGCTTTCCTCGCCATGGGACCAGAGCATTCCGAACATACGCTCCCAGAGGGCTTCAGCACGTTAACTTTGGCCTTGGACAACAGAAAGTAAAAGGGCAGACTGCCTAAACAGTTTTAGTCAAGGAACACAGCACTGAACAAAGTTACCACAGGTTCTAAGCGCAGCTTTTCCCGAACGTTTATTTCACATCCTTTACCACTGTTTGGGCAGGACTTCCTACCTCCCCAAGAAGGTGGGTAAAATGAAAACAAACATTGAAAGTGTAATATGATTTCACCCTAACATCGTCCAGCCACTGAACAAAATAAATAGTTGGTATTTACAAATACCCTTGCATAAATAATCAGCAAGCCACACTGTACAGATTATTTTTCCTCCTCACATCACAAACACAGGAAAACAAGCAGAAATCTGCATTTCTGAAAGCAAAGAATTAAAGAATAAGACTCATAATCAGATGATACCCAAATTATGAGGCTCCGCTTGCTTTCATCTAGCTGTGTAACACACTAACAGGCACTTACTACAGACAAATTCCAACATGAACTACTTCCTAAGAGCAACTGTACCTCACACATGCTTCCTGCCTGATAAGGCTAGAACAATTCAGAACTGCTCTGATGAAGGACAACATGAAGGGCAAAAGGCAAAGCTATGATTTATTTTCCAACATGCAAAACTTCTGTCCGTGTGCTGCAACTCCATACTCAGCATTTATTTTTTTTTAATCCATACTAAATCATTTGGCTTTTTAAAAAATGCAATTTTTTAAATTGGGTGATTCCTGATGATTTTCTGTTAAGCACAACTGTTCAGGTGACAGAATATGTATGCACTCAAATAATTTAAATAATATGGTGAGAGCTTTCTCACTAACAGACTGCATGATCAAATATCTGTTGCCCTATGTTGATGCACTACAGGGCATAAAGGGGAAATTGCAGAGGACGACAGCAGCCACGCCAGGTAAGGCATAAGGTTGATCCACCCCAGTATCCTGTCTCAGGATGGAAAGGAGTGGGTGTAGAGAGGAAGTAACAAAAAGTACATCTCCTCCATACCTTCCCTGCTTCCAAAGTTTGCTGCAACTCACAAGACTTCCTGAACCACAGACAGTATCTTTCTGCGTAGCACCTCACTATGGATCTATGGATTTATCTACCGTTTTTTGAAAGCATCCAACCGTTCTCCCATTCATATCCATACTAATAATTTGCAGAGTTTAACTGTAAATTCCATGAAAAATTACCCTTTGCTTTAAACGTGCTGTCTGACCAAGTAAGGGATACTAAATGAAATTCTTACACTGAGAAAGCAAGTACTCATCACCTATTAGTTAATTTTACGTCACTGATGGTTGCACAGCCTTTCACCGTACCTACCTCTCAGCCACCTCTCTTTCTAGGCACTGGGGTCCTACTCTAATATCTTCCTGTATGGAGACATAGCACAACTCCTTCATACTGCTCTCTACTTCTCAGAATTTCCTTTTTTTTTCTTCCTAAAATAAAAAGTAGACCTATAAAAAGTATTCAAGCAACGGGGGTGCACCATGAGTTTCTGTAGATTTTTTCTATTCTTTGCACTTAGAAAGTAAAAAACGTGTAAACTCACTTTGCCTGTTTGGCTACTGTTGAGCTAACATTTTTTATAAAGATCCTACAGATAACTCCAAGATCTCTGACTTGAGCGCACACTC